CGGGACTGGGTTTGTCCTGCGGAAGGGCTTTCCCCTCAGGAACCAGCAGCAACGGATGGGACACAAAGCACCACAGGCCGATATTGAGCCTCTCCCAGTAGTACGCAGCATCTTTAAAAAGGAATTTATAGTTTTATCAACTGTACGAGGGAGAAATGTTCACCTGTTGAAATATCCATTTTGTAGGCCAAATAATGTGATTGAATGTATAAAAGAAAATGAAATAAAACAAGAAAAAAAGAAATAAAACATAGTACTAAACATGAAAGAAAAAGGGCAGAAGTTTTAAAGAATTTGCTTGGGGTGGGGCTAGAATTTCCATCAGCAAGCTGAGTTTCCTATACAAAGGAATAGCATGAATCACAGTTGCGTTAAAGGAGAGTGTGACTTTTCTAAAACCTTACTGACTTTCTTCTATGCTTTGTCTTCCAGATTTAAGGATTTGGGTTTCCTTGTGAGTTGTTAATAGGTTCAGCAATTTGTTAATTTTTTTTAATTGAAACATAAACTTTTCTCCCTTCCTGACCCCTTTGCAACTGGAAAATATTTGTGAACATTCTTATTTTGTGACAGAATGGTTTTTGCATAAATTCAATAATACAATAGTATCTATTGCTTTTCATCAGAAATTGAATTCTTATGGAACTTTGTGCAAATAACAGTCCAAATTGAGATTAACCTAATTTTTTTTTTTTTGAGAGAGGTTTTTCACTATAGGGCAAGTGTGCTCACCAGACAGACAGAGAGAGACAGAGAGACAGAAAGCGAGAAATCACCCCCCAGAGGGGATGGCCACGCCGCATCCCTTCTCCTCCATTCTCCTCTCGGGATCTTGGGCACGCACGCACACGTGCCCGGTGTGGGTTTTAAGTCGACGTGAACCACGGTCGACTACGTGGGAGTCCAGCAACATAGCCATTATGCTAACTGTTGGTTCCCCCTAATTTTTTTTTTTCAAACAAGTTAGTTATACCTCTCTTTGGTAAAAGGGGGAATGAAAATAGAAAAAAATGTTTCAGAAGAAAATTACAGTGCACTTGTCACTAGATTCTAGCTTTGTCCATATATTTAGTTTAAGATATTTTGTGAATGGTGAGCAGCAGTTAGCATAATGGCTATGTTGCTGGACTCCTACATAGTCGACCGCGGTTCGAGTCACAGACCTGGTGGCTTAAACTCACGCCGGGCGTGTGTGTGTGTGTGTGTGCGCCCAAGATCCCAAGAGGAGAATTTTGTGAATCAATAAAATGTGAAAAAAAGTTTAGTATGGAAGAGAAGGAGGGGAAAAGGGAAGAAACAAGTAGAAGTATGCTTAAATGACAAAAAATGAGAAGCTATTGCTGATTATAATGTATTTAGTAATATCTATGTCTTGACTGACATGAATGGTATTTGCACTGGACAAAAAGTTGTGAACTATAAAGACATGTGATTAAATGTAAATAAATATATTTTTGAAAAGTAAAAAAATAAAAAAGATCTTTTAAACTATTTTTAAGTGTTGAGATACATTTAATCTGCTTACATCCTACACTGAAATCGAATGTTAGGGAAACAAGCAGAGGGGTTGTTTGAGAGGAGTCTCTTCTAGCAAGAGTAAGCCTCATGAAGTCACACTGCAGCAGCCTCCCTCAAGGTGCGCAGGTGACAGCACCAAAGGCCACTTCCTCAGAAACCTCTCCACTCACAGGTGGGCTGCAGGTCAGCAGCACCGGCTTCACCTAGGAGCTGATCGGAAGCACAGGACCCCAGCCCCGTTACTCATGTAACTGAAAAAACACATGAAAAAAAACACATGAAATTCTTCCAAACACTGCTCCAACCTGAATAAGAGAAGTCTGGCTCTAGTCATCTTTTAATAATACTACTAAAATTTGTGGTCCACATATGATTTAGAGCATCCCTCCCAGGATCCTTGAACACAAGAATACCATGAAATCTCATCTTGCCCCATCGCAAATGCTCTTGGACTGATTAAAGATTCATTAAACTTCTTTTACCACTCTTAACTGCTTTCTCAAATGGTATTGGAGAAGCTGCTAGGATAGCGGAGAGGTGGGAAAGCTCCCAGCCCACATGTACTCCTCTCCTGTGGGAGACCCCAGCTAATGCTAACATGGACAGGTGGGAGGGGAAGCACCGCACAGTTAACCAGTCTGACTCCAGCAACCAGTGGGGGCCACTCACTCGCAGCCCCGTCCACATTCCGTCAGTTGATGTCCTTTAGGAATTGCGCCTGGAGCCACTCAGAAACAACCACGTGGCCTACACTGCCGCTCTTGTCTAAGAGGGCAGTCCTAATATTTGAAACCCCACCAGCTTTGGCATCGCTCATCCTGAAAATCAATCTTCAGCCTGATTCTTCACACGGTACGTCCATGTTTTTTATGCAGGAAAGGAGAGAAAACTTACAATTCTCACACACACAAATAACAAAGGAGGGCTTCTCATCCCAGTTATAATAAATGAGCTTTTCAATTCACAGCGCACTTTCTCCAAAATAATGAGCTGTTTAATACAGAGAGCCCAAAATGGTGGCTGATAAATCAATGCACTGGAGGAGGATACTCGAAGCAACAGAAGAGAGAAGAAAGGACAGTGAGCCGAATACCAGTCTCTGAGGCTCAGAGAGGCCTGAATTGCTCACTGCTACAAATCACGGGCACAGACTGGAAAATGACCAGTGGCATTTTCATTTCTTTATTGTGGATGAACGTGACATTTTTAGGACTGGACCCATGTGGAAGGCTGGACGCGAGCAACTGGGCCTGGTACTACCATGCATTTTGCAGTTGACATTAGGGTCAAGGCTTCTTGGTGGCACCAGTACCAAACTAATTCTTGCCTAAATATTCCTAAGATTAAGAGAAAGTCCCTGGTACTGTCTGAACTTGTCCTTACACAGCAAAGGAGGCTCCCAGGATGTCTGCTAGTCACGACTTGGAGCCATTTCCATGTGACAAGCCACCTCAGGCATCCTGGCAAGTTCAGAGCTCAGAGTTTAGGGACATAGGGGACATAGAGAAGGACTCCCCATTTTTGTCAGAGTCCATATTCGTAACCCTGAGGAAGACTCTGACTGGATGCCATGACCACCATCTCCCAGATCTCCCCAGGGCTGGATTTTCCTGTAGCTAGTGGCTGTGGCTTTTCAATGCAGTTTATTTTATCTCGGTTGTTTATGTTGCCTGCCTCAGAGCTGCAGTTAAGATGGCTTCCTCAAAGCCTCCGGATTGGTGACAGTAGGGGACAGCAGGGCACAGTGCAAGCCCGAATTCTCTCCCTTTCTGTCCTAAGGGTAGGTCTCCCTTCCTCCCAGGTCCCACTGCACTCAGTGCAGGACTCCGATTGGAAGTGCCACCTTCTGACCAGCTCCTTGCCTTTTCCGATATCAAACACAAGTGTCTAGGGGTTGATGTGGGAGCTGGCAAACACAGGAGCGTTTCAGGCGGGTCAAGATGATATCAAGGACACAGAATTATTGGCAGTGCCCTTGGCATCCCACACCCGCTTTGAGATTCATTGCCTATTACGAACTGGAGCCCTCGGCTGGCACGTGGCCATTCCAGAGCGGCAGGTGTGCAAGACGCTCATCTAAGTCACTGCAGCAATCAGGGCAGGGCCGTCGGGACCTGGTTGGGGAGGCACACGGAGGGCACAGTTGTCACCCCAGGGAAGGGCCCACACCTCCACCTGCCACGCTGGTTGAGATATCACGTAGCAGCTGCAGCTGTCCAAGGGCTGCCGAGAGGAAGACGGTGCACCTGTTTGCAGCCTGCTTCATTATCATCAATATCCGTGCAGTCATTAAAGGCAAAGAATTGATAAAATGCAGCTGCCTGGGGAGCATGCGCCTCCTTTTGATATTGGGACTCATTTGAGATTATTAGAAGCCAGCCGCCAACACAAGGACCTCCCAAAGAAAGTTCCTGGTCATCTCACGTGGCCAGAACCCTCAGTTCACTCTGAGCTCATTTTATTTGACACTATTGTTTTTTGAAAATCCTATTGTTTCCCCATGGTTGCTTGGAAAGTCATGCCAGTTCGTGGGTGACGGATGAGTCTGTGTTTCTTTAACTGTGCTCCCTCCCTACCGGGTTCTGTCACCTTTGCGAGGCGATCAAAGCCGAGGAGCTGGAGTTGCCAGGAAGGCCCGCGGGTGAGAAATGGTCACGCTCCCAGGGCTCTGACACCGCGTTGCTCCTTCTGTGCGGTTGGCGGCCTCGCCTGCACACCCTCGGCTGCAGCCGACCAGCACCAGCTCACACCGCAGGGCCAGCCAGTTCCTTCCACCTCTCCCATTCGTCAACCTGGATGCCGAGGGGGCACGTGTGGCCCTTGCAGGAGCGTTGGCTAAAGGAACTCTTCGCAGAATTCTGGGCCTGCCTGCTTCAAGACAAGAGAGAACAGCACACAAAATGATTATCAGCTGGACGAAAGTCTATTAATCAGCCAGGCAGAAGATGGCAAAGCACATGAGACAAGGGGGAGGCAGACAGTGCCCGGTGCCAGGCGAGCCTCCTGTTCAAGGCCACGTCCAAGGCTGGCCTGTGAGTGTGACAGATCCACCCTCGAAACGCCAACCTGGAAAGTGGGGGCTTTCCCCTTTCTGGTCTGGAGTAACCATAGGGTGACCGCCGCCACCCCTTCCTCCAAACACCCCCTTGTCTCCTTCCTGGAGGGTGGATCCATAGTGTGGACAGGGGGAAGAGGGTCGACCCGGAGATAGAGTTGTGTCCTTGCATTCACAATATCAGGCTACAGGAAGGCACCTCCGTGGCTCTTCCACCCCCAAAACAAACCCAGCAAGGAGCCTTTGCAGCCTGTCTGCATAAAAGCCAAACAGACTCGTCAAATCCCAAGACCAGGCGACAGGGATGGAGAGCTGGCTTTCTAGTGGCAACAAATAGACGTCCTGACAAACCGTGTTAATGATTGACTGGAGTTTCCCCCTCTTTGTAGCAAGAGGGAAGGTCTGTGAAGTTCCTAGTCAAAATGGCTCATGAATGGGTAATCACAACAACCTAACAGCCTTTTGATTCCCTGACAGATCCGTGGAATGTGTGAAGTTGGCATGATTGATGGCTGTTGGCTGACAGTGGGTTTTACGGAAAAATGAGTGGCGTCCCAGACGGCAGCGGCTGAACGCGCCAATGAAGCCCTACCCAAGAGGTGTACCCACGCCGCGGGGAAAGAGCCTCACTTGCAGAACTGCTCCAAGCAGACCCATGCTAGAACCACAGAGAGGCAAGGTTACTCCATGAGCCATCGGGGTGGACAGACATGGCCCCCGGCTTCCCCTTGCCCTCTCAGCTTCCGGGAGGAACACTGGATGTCATCGCCACGATTTTGCCATGGGGAGGGAGGACCTCAGTGTGCTTACTGCAGTGAGGCCCAGAACTCCAACTCTAAATTCAGAGCACACTAAGTTCTGTGTGATCTGAAAATATTCAGATCAGGAAAATATTCAGATCCATCAACAGCCCCAGTGAAAAATAAGACCCTGGGGCTAGCCAGGGGCCTATCGGTTAAAGCAACTGGATCCCACAGGGACAACTGTGTGGTTCGAGTCCTGGACCCAGAGGCTTAAAAATACACACTGGATGTGTATGTGTGAGTGTATGCGTGTGCATGTGTGTGTCCAAAATCCTGAAAGGAGAAAGTTTCTTTCGTTTCGGAGAAGGAATTGCAGTGGCGATGTCTCACTTTCCCTCTCTCTCTGTATCTCTCTCCAGAGCACACATGCCCTCTTGCAAAATTAAAAACAAGAAAAAGAAAGAAAGAAAGAAAGAAAAATACAAGGCCCAGTGCCTGCAAGACCACAGCCGGCAGGAGGAGAAAGCAGGTATTGCGGGGTGGAGCTGAACTCACTCTCCCCTCGGGAAAGAGGTGTGGCTAGAGGCCCGCAATGCTCAAGGCAAGGCCGCTCGTAAATCAAGCTGGATTTAGGGGACACGCAGTTATTTGGGAAGCCAGTGGGCAGGGGCCAGGTAGAGATGGCAGAGGGAGCCAGTCCAGGACAGAGCTCCCCTGTAGGCCTGGAGCAGGTAGGTATGCAGGGCCTGGGCTGCAGAGCCAGAGTCCATCCTGTGTGCAGAGGGTGGGGCCCTCAAAGTGTGACCGCCAACCGCAGGGTAAGGATGACACAGCAATTCTCAGTTGTGGAGCAGGCCAGAGGACCACTGCATGGGGTTCCCCATCTCTGTGGACACTGGTCCCCAGACAGTGGTCAGAAAGCTGGCCAGGCCCAGCATGGGCCTGGAGCCCTTGGCTATGCCAGCATGATGGAGTCCCATCACCGAAACTGTGACCGAGGACATGGGTGTAAAGACTCAGACGGAGGTCCAGGAACCAAAGAACCCAGGCTGGAAACTAGTGCTCCCGGTGCTGGGCGTATTCAGGAGCTGAGCAGGGCGGCTCGCCTTCACAGCCTGCAAAGCCAGGGGACATCACGCCACCGACAGCTCCTACATCAATGGGGTTTAGTCACTTCACCAATGGTAAGGATTTC